CGGAAATTTTTTTTTCAATAAAAAAAAATTTAAAAAAATAGTAAAAACCAAAAAAAAAAAAGACTTTATTTTTAAAAAGTATGTTTGTGAGCCAGGCAGTGGCGGTGCACACCTTTAATCCCAGCACTCAGAAGGCAGAGACAGGTGGATCTCTGTGAGTTTGATGCCAGCCTGGTCTACAAAGCTAGTTCCAGGACAGCTAGGACTGTTAAACAGAGACCCTGTCTCAAAAAAATAAAATAAAATCTCTCTCTCTCTCTCTCTCTCTCTCTCACACACACACACACACACACACACACACACACACACACACACGTATATAAACCAGACCCACAGCTCCCATTTAGATCCTTATCTTCACTTTCTCTAAAGCTTATTTCTCTAAAACACGTGATTCTGGAATATTACAGTTCTAGACACCTTATGAAGGAAATTAAATTTTTATAACTTAAAGAGATAGTTTGTTATCAGGAGCATATGTGCATAACAAAAAGGAAATGTCAGTTTAGACCTCACAGAAGGAAATGTTGAGGTTACTTAAAACCCAGCAAGGAAGGAAGAGAATCACACCCTGTACCACCACCACTGTAGTCCACCTACTCAATCACCTCCTAAAATAGAAGCAGACTGAAGGGCAAGAGCTGTTGACTCAATTAGCACTCCAGTCACATACCTTGAAGCCCTATCTTCAGAAGCCTCAATGTTATATAAGACTGTCCTGCCTTGCTTCACTGCATCCAAAGCCATTGGAGCTTTGAAGTAAATAGCATCAGTAGTACCTCTGTCCTCAGACTTCCTGCCCAGCTGCCTTCATCTGCCTGCCTATACTCTATACAATACTCATTACCTGTAATAAACAATTATTTCCTTGATTAATCACTAATTTAATGCTAGAGAATATAAAAGATAAACTCTAAGATGAATAAAATGCTATCCTATATGCCTATCCTTACCTTTTTACTATTGTGAGGTAATAAAATTATTTAATCCCTATATATAACTTTTAGTAATTAAGGTCTAGATTCAACACAGTGTAGTTTATTTGTCCTTCCTTAGCACTCAACAATTTTGTTTCATTTTTCGAAACAGTTTCTCTGTGTAGCCCTGACTCACTCTGTAGACCAGGCTGGCCTCCAGATCACAGAGATCCACCTGTTTCTGCCTTCTGAGTGCTGGGGTTAAAGGTGTGAGCTATCACATGGCAGCACTCAACAATTTTAAGCAGTAATCACACTTAAAACATTTTCAAAGATCTCTAACTTTCTATTACTGCTTCATACATTTAATATACATATATGAATTATCCACTAGTTTATTTAAATGCTTTAGTATCTATAGTCTAACCTGGCCAAGCAAAAAAAAATTATTAAAAAATAATTTTCAAGCAGGGTGTTGGGCTCATGCTTGTAATCTCACACTCAGGAAGAAGGAAGAAGATTTCTCTGAGTTCCAGACCAGCCAGGACTTTTACATACTGTCCCATGGCCCTCAAAAAAGCCAAGTGTAGTACCACAGGCCTTTAATTCTAGCACTAGGAGGCAGAGGCAGGTCAATCTCCAGGGCTTCAGAGTGAGACTCTATCTCAGATAAATAAATTCTCCATCATTAAGAAAACAAACATCAGGTATGGTGGCACACATCTTTAATCCCAGCACTTAAGAGGCAGAGGCAGGCAGATCTCTGAGTTTGAGGCCAGCCTCATTTACAAAATGAGTTCCAAGACAAGAGTTGAAGATAGATAGTTACAGTTATAGTCTTCCTTGTTTACCAGACTCAGAGAAGAAACTCATTAAAGAAGTGTGAAGTGTATAAGGTTGAGAGATCAAAAGATAGTTTTGGATGGTAATGCAAGTTAAGATAGAAAGTGAACTAGGTACAAGACTTTGGACTCACCAAGATAGGATAGATAATGGAATATTTTCTTCAAATTTGTCAAATACTAGTAGACAAGACATTGTTAATGTAATCATTGCCTGTATATATTTGTCTATACTTACTGTACTTAATTGTATATAGTTTTTCTTATATTAGTTAAAATACTTTATTTTAGACAAAAAGGGGGAAATGGAGTGATATTGTTTGTGCAAAATATACAAATATTTTGTACAAATAAAGCAGACATCTGAGTTTGAGGCCAGTTTCATCCACAAAGTGAGTTCCAAGACAGCAAAGGCTACAGAGAAAAAAACCTGTCCTGGAAGAAAAAAAAAAAGCAAGCAAACAAACAAACAAAAAAGACTTCCCATTTTGTTCAAAACCTTTATTGGTCGGGCGGTGGTGGTGCACGCCTTTAATCCCAGCACTTGGGGAGACAGAGGCAGGAGGATCTCTGTGAGTTCGAGATCAGCCTGGTCTATAAGAGCTAGTTCCAGGACAGGCACCAAAGCTACACTAAGAAACCCTGTCTCGAAAAACCAAAAAAAAACCTTCATTGTATAAAGGACTCTTCCTAGACTTTTATTTTGGTCTAGTATTTGATTACGTTCCCTCAGTGTTCTCTTTCTAGTTGTACCAAATGTTCTTTTCCTGGTACACATTTCATCAGAAACAGAAGTCCATGTCAATACACTCTTCCTATTCAGTCTTTCCCAGTGTTTATCTTCTATTAGACACAGACATAGGGGATAACTTTGTGCTGGCACCACACTTCAAACACATCACTCAGAAAACAGCAATATTCTGCCTTTCAGAATTAGTATGGTGCACCCTGCCATATTTGAAGCCTACCTGTCCATATCCTCCAGATTATCAACTGGTGATCCCAACCGGTCACTAAGTCGATGCCATTCTGGTGTGTTAACACAGAAGTGGTCATTGCCAACAGTGACTCTTAAACTCTGCTCCAGAGAAGAATCAGAACACAGACCAGGAGAACGTCTCTACAAAAGTTAAAAAAAAAAAGAAAAAAGAATAACCATATGGTAGTCAACATGAAGACATCTTTATGCCATAAAATGTATTCCCCACTCATAAAATTTTTGTCTCTCATGGTAAGGAACCATTCCGCAACAGAAAAAGGAATTTTAGAAATATCCATAGTTTTGATAAAAGCTTATATTCTTCACTCCTCTGAAAATATGACCGCCTGTTCTTATGGAACATGGGAATAGCCAAGTAAATAAAATCCCTGCTCTCAGGACATATATATATCTAGCTAAGCGAGGAAAGCCAAAAACCAATTTTAAGCACTTCTGAAGGTAGCATTGTCACTAAAACATGAACCATAAAAGACTAAGAAAAAGGAGGAATCACTCCAGGTAGGGTGGCTAAAGGCAGCATTGCTGAGATGTTGTCATTCAACTTAAGTAAATGGGAAGCTTATAGGTCTTTCAAAGAAAACAGATGTTTCAAGCCGAGGGAAGCAACATCTCAACATCTCAAGAATGAACTGGCATTCTTTGGGTAACAGAAAAGAGGCCAGTACTGCTGGAGCAATGTGACAGGTAGAAGGGAAACAAAACTAATTAGGAAATTTGGATTTGATTCTTGATAAGAGTGTAGGAGGGTTTTAAGAATCAAAGTCATGTAGCTGGACGGTGGTGGCGCACACCTTTAATCCCAGCACTCGGGAGGCAGAGGCAGGCAGATCTCTGTGAGTTCGAGACCAGCCTGGTCTACAAGAGCTAGTTCCAGGACAGGCTCCAAAGCCACAGAGAAACCCTGTCTCGAAAAAACAAAAAAAAAACAAAAAAAAAAAAAGAATCAAAGTCATGTAACCCAACTATACTCTACCTCAAGGTGCTTGCACTACTCTAAGGTGCTCACTCAAAGCTTACTTCTCAGGAGGCTCTTTCCCTTTAAGTCCTATCAAACACTATAACTCACTGTTGAATTTCACATTTAACACAATACAGACCACTGCCAAGACCACAGATGCCCATTAAATGCTTATTAAATGTATAAAGCAAAGGTTTAAAATCGGTTTGGGGACTCCAGTTGAGAGTGATTATTGTACTTGCAAAGGACCAGAGTTTGGTTCACAACACCCACATCAGGCAGCTAACTAGCTCCAAGGGATCCAAAGTCTCCACCAGCACCTGCACTCCTAAGTACATACCCACACACAGGGACATATGAATACAATTAATTAAAAAGATTTTAAAAATCAGTTTGATTGCTGAACACAGAAAAGAAAAACTGGTGAGTAGCAAGGCTAAATTGTAAAGAAGGTAAATGTATGAATCCAAGGAAGAGGTAAGAGGGTCGTCAGAGTGCTAGAAGGTGACAGGACATCCTGGTGATTTACCCTAAAGGTACACCTAACAGGTTAGATGAGGTAAATGTTCAGATTAGACGAGAAGAGAAAGGAGATAACAATTTCCTGTAGGACAGAGAACTGGAGCAAATACAGTATCCTGAAGAGGTGGGAAGCAGTGGTACAGTGTTCTACTTTTGATTCCTCTGTAGTGAGGGCTTTGAAAAATCTCTACAATGTGACTAATCAGTTTATCTGTGAGCAGAGTCCTAGCATACATGATTTATATAGCGCTCTCCAAAAGAAAATGTAGAAACTGAGAACAAACAAACCCCTCCACTACATCAGGTCACGGGCAGGAACTCTGCTACAACTCTAGTGCTACCTGAGGCCCCAAGTCGGGTTTGAGTTCTGCAAGCCCTCCACTTCGGACCTACACCCACCACCACCACCAACTCATCTCACGCAGCACATTTTTACACTTAACATCGCGGACTGAGAGAACCGAGCAGGAGAACTGAACCACAGTCCCCTCACTTGTAGCTGTGTCACCTCCATCAAGTGACTTGGACCTTTCAGAGCTGAATCCTCTCAGCTGTGCGACAAGGAGTAACAACAGTCATTGCTTTACCTCACGGGGCTGTGAGCACTAAAAGAACGCTGGTAGCTGCTGTCACATCGCTAGTTGGCGGGCAGCAATCACAATAATTGATTATGCACACCTCGCTTCTGACCACAGCTCCAAGTGAGACCCCCATGACAGCTAAAGCATCCAGCTTGCTTAGGTTCAAGCTGTCCTGACTGGCCATCAGGCGTTCGCATGCGTCTCTAAACTCGGGCCTTAAGGGGAATGAATCTCACCAAACCCCAGGGAAAGCTCAAGGCGCCAATAAGTAAGGAAGAAATTCTCCTCGCTTTGATTAACTTTTCCACTTAGCGAGAGCGAAAGCCTCTTCCCAAGAAACCGGGCATTGGGTCCCGGGTCCGTTATTGTGTCAACGAGGCGCCCAGGGCTGTCAGGGAGCGGGGCGGACTTGAACATTTGAACTCCAGCGTGGAGGCCCGGGGGCTCGGGATCGAGGGGCGACCCAGGCGAAGGGTGGGATTACCCGACTGCCGCCGTCGCCTGGATGGTCTCCGCGGCCGTCCCGAGCGAAGTCGGCGCGGGACTCGCCTCGAACGCTGCCTCGGAATCCAGCCAGGCCCGGCGGGTAGAGTCGCCGGCTCCGCGGTGGCGATGGGGAGCCACGACGGGCGCGCGGCGGGGACGGGGAGCCACGACGACCCCGAGACGGGGACGGCGAGGCCCGGCGGCCACGGGGCGGAGACGGTGAGGCCCGGCGGCCGCGGGGCGGGGACGGGGAGCCGCGGCGACCCCGAGACGGGGACGGCGAGGCCCGGCGGCCGCGGTGGCCTGAGGGCGAGCGGTGCCGGCGGGAGGAGAGCCGCAGCGACGACGAGCTAGAGGGCGGCGGCGAGGAGGGGCGGCGCGCCGAGCCTGAGGAGGAGCCCCCTGAGCGGCCGGGTCGCGAGCCGCTCACGCCGCCGTCCTTCGTCCGGTGCGAAGAGACCGAGGAGCGGGAGCCGCTGCGGTACATGGCTACCGGGAGCGCCGCGGCCACGGGCCCCGAGCGCGCCGCCACAGCTGCAGCCGCCGCCGCCGCCAAGCCCGCAGCGCGCCACCCTCGCGGCCGGAGCAGCCCCCTCCCCGCCTCCGAGGCTAAGCCGAGCGCGCCCCGGAGGCCCAGCGGTTGGAGGGCGCGGGCACGCGCCGACACACCCCCGCCCTCCCAGGCTCCCGGCGGCCGGACGAGCTGAGGAAAGAGTGGGGAGGAGCGCGGAAGCCGCTCGGGCCCCGAGGACGCGCGCCCTCAGCTCCGCAGGCCCCGCCTCTCGGCTCGCAAGATGGCGGCCGCCGAGCCGCCCACTTCCCCTCCCCCGAGGGCCACGTGACGCGGAGCGGGCTGGCGCGGTGGGCGGGGCACTCGCTGTGCCCGGGCGCTGGGTGCCCGTGAGCGGGGTCTCAGGCTGCTGGAGCGTGTCAGCGCTTTTCCTGCCCACTGCCAGCCCTTCTAATTTACAGTAAATGATTATCGTGAGAATAGCAGTGACAGCCTCACCTAAGCCCCCTCGGAGAGCACCCACGGACATCCCCCGCCGGCAGAGGAAGCCTGTCATTGTCGACTTTCCAGTCCGATAATTTATAGCGGTTTAAATTGAGGATGAGAAAGTTCAGGGAGGCGAAATTCAAAGTTGAACAGGTATCAGTAAAATTTCCGAAGTTTTGACCAAGCACGAGGGTAAAATGTTGACGCTCACCGTCAGAGCAATCAATCCATACCTTGACAGGCAGGAGGAAGCCCGCCAAGTGTTTCAGACATTAAGAATTTCGTCCCCAGACTAGAAGCATCATTTCCCCACACGTCAGTCTCAGGAATTTGCATCCTAAGAAAAGAGAAGAGGAGAGGAGAGGGGAGGGGAGGGGAGGGGAGGGGAGGGGAGAAGAGAAGAGAAGAGAAGAGAAGAGAAGAGAAGAGAAGAGAAGAGAAGAGAAGAGAAGAGAAGAGAAAAAGGCACCTAGCAACCATTCATAAGTTCCCACCCTCCTCTGGCTTAGGAGGGGTGCAAAGACATACGTGGAGACATACTCAAACACAGAAAATATAAATAAATCTTTAAAAACTGGGAAGGAGAACAAATAGGGGGTCGGTTAAAACGGGAAAATAGGGACTGGATAGATAGCTCAGGAATTCTTTTCCCAGCACCCACATGGGGGCTCCAAACCATCCAGGACCCCAGTTCAGGGGATCCCACACTCTTCTTTGGACACTAGGCACCCCGTGATGTACAAACAATCATGCAAGCAAAACATTCATATACATAGAATGGAAAAATAAGAAAATAAGTTGACACGAAACAACAGCCTCTTCATATTTTTCACCAGCTAAATACAAATCTGAAACTTGTATAAATTTGTATAAAAATTAGATTTCTGATTTCAAAGCAAAGGCAAAACAAAGAAAACATAAATTATAAAATATTTCTACTTACTAATTTATGGTTTTGGTTTTGGTTTTTGTTTTTCGAGTCAGGGTTTATCTGTGTAGCCTCGGCTATCCTGGAGCTCACTCTGTAGACCAGGCTGGCCTTAAACTCACAGAGATCTGCCTGCCTCTGCATCCTAAGTGCTAGAATCAAAAGCATGTGCCACCACTGCTGGGCTAATTTATATCTTCATGTTTAAAATAGAACCAATTTACATATTTATAAAAAGATGTGCTTACTTCATATTTCAGTATAAAATTTGATTTGTTTATTTTTTGGCTTTTTTTGAGACAGGGTCTCACTATGCAACCTTGGCTGGTCTGGAATTTGTTTTATAGACCAGAATGATCTTGTACTCACAGAGATCTGCCTACCTCTACCTCTCACCTGGCCCCAGTACAAAAATTTTACCAGCTGGATCTCCTTACATACAGCTCACTTTATCCTATATAATTGATATGATTTTTCAAAATAAAATTTATTTTAATGAAAAAGTTAATGCACCAGAGAGGTATGTGCCCCATCTTCATCATACTATCTAGGTATTTAGCTATCTACACTACCATAGAATTTAAGTAAAGGTGAGAAAAGATCAATTACGATGTGTAGTTACTTGAAGTCAATGCTTATTGTGTGTACTAGGGTCTCAGTTACTGGAGGTGTAGTGATATTGTTCATGTTTTAACGAATAAAGCTTAGCTAGAGCAATAAGACAACAAAAGGAGATCAAGATACAAATTGGAAAAGAAGTCAGACTCTCACTATTTGCTGATAATCTGATAGTTTACATAAGTGACCCAAAAATTCAACCAATGAGTTTCTACAACTCATAAACACCTTCAGTAATGTAGCAGGATACAAGATCAGCCCTCCTCTACACAGATGATAAATGGGCTGAGAAAGAATCAGAGAAACATCACCCTTCACAATAGCCACAAATAGCATAAAATATCTCAGAGTAACTCTAATCAAACAAGTGGAAGACCTGTATGACAAGAACTTTAAATCTTTGAAGAAAGAAATTGAATAAGACACCAGAAAATGGAAAGATCTCCCATGCTCTTTGGTAGGTAGAATTAACATAGTATAAATGGCAATCTTACCAAAAGCAATCCCCAGATTCAATGCAATACCCAGCAAAATCCCAGCAAAATTCTTCACAGACCTCGAAAGAACAATATTCAATTCATATGAAAAAGAAAAAAAAAACAGGATAGCCAAAACAATCCTGCACAATAAAAGAACGTCTGGAGGCATCACAATCCCTGACTTCAAACTCTACTACAGAGCTACAGTACTGAAAACAGCCTGGTATTGGCATAAAAAAGAAAGGAGGACCAATCAATCCACATACCTGCAAACACCTGATTTTTTACAAAGAAGCAAAAAATATAAAATAAAAAAAACAAAGCATATTCAACAAATGGTGATGGCATAACTGGATATCAACATGTAGAAGAATGAAAATAGACCCATATCTATTACCATGCACAAAACTCAAGTCCAAATGGATCAAAGACCTCACCATAAAGGCAACCACACTGAATCTCATAGAAGAAAAAGTGGGAAATACACTTGAACGCATTGGCACAGGAGACCACTTCCTAAATATAACCCCAGTAGTACAGACACTGAGAGAAACAATTAATAAATGGGACCTCCTGAAACTGAGACGCTTCTGTAAAGCAAAGACATAGTCAACAAGACAAAAATGGTAGCCTACAGAATGGAAAAAGATCTTCACCAACCCCTCAGATAGAGGGCTGATCTTCAAAATATACAAAGTGGTGTGGAAAGTCCTTTTGTATATGTGTTGCTTTTATTGGTTAATGAATAAACAAGCTGTCTTGGCCTGTGATAGGGTAGAGTAGAGCTAGGTGGGGAAAACTAAACTGAATGATGGGAGAAAGAAGGCAGAATTACAAGATGCCATGTAGCCACCTGAGGGCAAAGATGTGAGCTGCCAGCTGGAACTTGCTGGTAGGCCATGAGCCTCGTGGTAAAATATAAAATAATGGAAATGAGCTAATTCTAGATATAAGAGCTAGCTAGAAATACATTTAAACCATTGACCAAACAGTATTGCAAATAATATAGTTTCTACGTGATTATTCTATGGTCTGGGCAGCCAGGAACAAACAAACAAGCAGCCTCTCCTACTACAAATTGATGCCCAATCTGGGGCTAGAACTCATGCTCCTGAGATTAAGAGTCTCATGCTCTACCAACTGAGCTAGCTGGGCTCTGCTTGCTGGTGGTATGCTGCAGCTCCTCTAAGAGAGGTCTTCCTGATTCAGCAGTAGCAAAAACAACAACAAAACAGAGGTTTTCTGGTTTGCCAGCACTAACGGCTCTGATTCTTTAGGAGGTCTGGCTGTGGAGCATTTAAATGCAAAAGAAATGGACTTTTTTTTTTTTTTAGATAAGTACCATATACCAAAGCTAAACCAAGACCAGGTGAACGATCTAAATAGACCTGTTAGTCGTGAAGAACTAGAAACTGTTATCAAAAATCTCCCTTCCAAAAAAAGCCCAGGACCAGATGGTTTCAATGCAGAATTCTACCAGAACTTCCAAGAAGAGCTAATACCTATACTCCTTAATGTATTTCACAATATAGAAACAGAAAAGTCATTGCCAAATTCCTTTTATGAAGCTACAGTTACCCTGATACCAAAACCACACAAAGACCCAACCAAGAAAGAGAATTACAGGCCTATCTCACTCATGAATATCGACGCAAAAATTCTCAATAAAATACTGGCAAACCGAATTCAAGAACACATCAGAAAAATTATCCATTATGATCAAGTAGGCTTCATCCCAGAGATGCAGGGCTGGTTCAACATACGCAAATCTATCAATGTAATCCACCATATAAATAGACTGAAAGAAAAAAACCATATGATCATTTCATTAGATGCGGAAAAAGCATTCGACAAAAT